CCCAGTTTAAATGGTTTTATTTTAATAAAATTTTGTATAAGTACTTAATGAAGCATAATAAGTAAATGATAAAAATTTCAAAATGATTGCACTGCTTTAAAGCCCTTTGACATTTAATAATATGTGGATGCACCCTGATGTGCTACGCATTCTCCAACGCGCCTAGGCATGCTTCTGATCAGGTGGTCAATGTCCTCCTGTGGTATCTCATTCCAGGCAACCACCAACTCCTCTCGAAGTGCTTCTAGAGTCTGAGGAGGACGTTGCAAATTGAGCAATCTCCTACCCATCATATCCCACACGTGCTCAATTGGGGATAAGTCGGGAGATCTTGGTGGCCATGGTAACAATGTAACATCATTATGTTGAAAGAAGTCTATTGTGACTCTTGCAACATGTGGTCGGGCATTATCTTGTTGAAAAGTTGGATCTGCCAGGGTGTCAAGATAGGGTTAAAGGTGGGGTTCTAAAACTTCGTGGATATAACGCTGCGCGTTCATATTACCTCTGATGAAGATTAAAGGTGACCTGGAACCATAAGCTATAGCACCCCGAAAACCATAACTCCACTAAAGACAATACTGTTCCATTCCTGATACCAGAGGACCCAGTGTGGCCGGTATGAAAACAAGCCAAAACTTCTCATTCGTCGGTAAACACTTCGCATGCCAATAGGTCTTCCGTGTTCTGCAAACCATTCATTTGCAATGGACCTGGTAGTGGAGAAATGGTCCCTTAAGGCCAATAATCTTAGGCGGCCATCTTCACGGTCTGTTGTTCTACGGCGGCGTCCAGTGCCCCTTGCTCTTTGCGTACAGCCTTCTCGAAGCCATGCCTGACAACACCTAACCACAGTGTCTACACTTCTTTGCACTGCAATTGCCCGAAAAGAAAGTCCAGCTTCCCGAAGTCCCACTGTACCCCCTATCAAACTCACTAAGTTGACGAAATCGTACAGGTCTCCGTACTCTAGGCATCGTAACCGATCGTAAAGGATGTCAAGAACCAAAATCCGCCAACGTTGATTCTTTACTGCGGCTGAAATATTCATTTTTAGAGTGTTAGTGAATTAAAAAAATGCAGTATAAAAACCGGAATGTCCAACTGATAAGGCTGAAAATTTTTTCACTTGTTATTTACAGTAAGATAAATACATTCACCAACTTTTATTAAAATAAAACCATTTAAACTGGGTGTTCGAATTTATATGTCACTTAGTATACGTAAATATGTATGGTGCCCCGATTTTTGCTATAAAAACCGCACCATCATAAAAGTATTATCAAAAGTGAAAAGAACACACACTACCCTATCTGAAATATGCAGCCCAATGCTGATACGATTCACTAATAGGGTGCGTTTGGAAAATGTTTAGCCAATATATTTAATAGACCGTCGATGTTTTCCCTTAATTCTGTATTATGTAAAAACCTTAAAAACGTGAAAAACCGACAAAATGTCATCTTGCGGACTAGGTAGTTTCCAGTGTGTAAATAGTTCCTTACACGTTTGCTCCCTATAAACGCTGTGAGCGCCATCTATGGGAATGACTCAACGACACGACATGCATTGATGGTTGCAGAAAGCCGAGTAGTCTGTAGTGTTTATCTCTGTGAAGATGTGAAAGCCAGAAAGTTGGTTGAGTAGCAAGATCGTACACATAGCTAGAACAGTATTCTGGATGTTCAAAAGACAAGGAATTTAGCTTCTTACCAAATTGTAGACGACACCTCCTTAATAGGGTATTCAATCAAATAGATGTTGACTTATAGAATTTCCCTCCTGATACTTCAAGAATGATCAAGGTGTCGAAAAAACGTAAAAGGCCTTTTTGTACCAAACTTTATTCTCTACAAAGAAATAGTACTGTTTATACTTATCTGTTGACTATACGACAAATTTTATAGAAGCAAAACGACAAAATTGTTGGCGACGCCTTCTTAATATGGTATTCAACCGAATACAAAAAACTGTAAAGAAGTCAGGTCACCTTCACGTATTTTTGATGCGACAGTGGCGTAAACAAAAAACATATTTACCTATAATGTTTCCGCTTTTATGCGGCTTTGTGGGTGTTGTATCTATGGCGAATCTGGTTTTCTGCGTGTGCTTTTTGTCGACTGGCATAGGCGGCGGGCTGGGCGGGGAATAATCGGGGGGTGGTTCTTCCAGACGTTCCATTTTCTGGTCGCGCACGTCTCGGTAATCTTCCGTCCGGGAGCTTCTGTAACCGCTGTCGTACCTAAATTAAAAATGGTGAATAAGTAAACTCAAAATTATAGTCTATGAGATATAGCTGGACCTTTGAGGGGACAAAATATGAATATTTAGCGAGACATGCGGTACTCGGCAAGTAACTGTGCCATTCAACCAGAAGAAAAAACTGATATTTCAAATCAGCTGACAAATTTAAGGGTTGCAAGCAATGGGTTCATCATTTTTTTGTTTATTTAAACCTACCTTGAAAATTGGTTTAAAAAAATTCGTCTAAATCAACAGTACCCTACCGCACAAAAAATTTGTTCTGGTGCACCACAGGGATCAGCGTTAGGAACCCTGTTCTTTTTATTATACAGGGTGTTTCAGTTTATTGTTGCATAACTTTAAGATTCGATAAAACTTTTAAAATTAATGCATAAAGTCTATATAAACATGGGTCGAAAAATGGGCGGCTTCCGAAATACAGGGTGTTTAAATTTACTTTCTAAAATAGTTTTCTTTAAATATTTAGAACAATATTTGATGTATAACAGTGAAAATTGGTATACAAGGGTTTTTTGGTAGGACAAAAACGAACCATGGGCAAAGTTTTACTGTAGCCGCTAGAGGGCGCTCTCTACTGTACCTGTAGTGTATTAAATTAACCGAAAATTTTTTCTTAGTGCAATTTTTGCCTTTGAACAAAAAAACTGATTCTTCGCAGTCTTCAACATAAAAAAGCTCTCCTGTGAGTTTTCGTTATAGTTAGCCGTTTTTGAGATATTTCGATTTTTAAGGTTCGATGCATTTTTAATTATTTATGGGAAAATAATATTTTTTTTACATTTTCGATTTGCTTATTACAAATAATTAAGATGATCGTTTAGATTGTGTTTTTAAACACAGCAATAATTCCTAACTCCAAATAAACACAAAAAACAGAATATTAATTTGTTTAATTCTCCAGTATTATTTTTAACAAATTAAATTAATAATTTACAACTAAAATGCTATTGGATACTTAGGACAAACATACAAAATCTAAAGTAGTTAGTCGAAATGTAAACCCAATTGTTCAATACACAATTCACATCTACGAATGATCGAACGTGGTATAGCATTATTCAAATAAGGCCTTATTTCATCACATGCATTCCTGATTTTGTCTATTAGCATATCTCTTGTGGTTACGGGAGTCTGGTACACTTTTTCTTTTAGAAATACATGGTTTTACACACTCTTGATTGGAGAATAAAATGGCATTTTTATAAAAATTACAAAAAAAAAAACAGGTAAATAAACTAAATTTCGTGCATTCACAATTGCAAAAAAAACGTTTCAGGTTTCAACAGACAACAAAACTAATTGTCAACTAATTGACTTTTAACCTTATTCTGCTTTCAATTTCAAAAATATTTGCAGGCTCAGCCTACTTCCAAAAATTATCAAGATACTGACTTTTTAAAGTTATTTTATCATAAATAATTAAAAATGCATCGAACCTAAACAATCGAAATATCTCAAAAACGGCTAACTATAACGAAAATTCACAAGAGAGCTTTTTTATGTTGAAAAGTGCAAAGAATCAGTTTTTTTATTCAGAAAGCAAAAAATTGCACTAAGAAAAGATTGTCGGTCATTTTAATACACTACAGGTACAGTAGAGAGCGCCCTCTAGCGGATACAGTAAAACTATGCCCATGGTTCGTTTTGTCGTACCAAAAAACCATTGTATGCCAATTTTCACTGTTATACATCAAATAATTTTCGAAATATTTAAAAAAAAACTATTTTAGAAACTAAATTTAAACACCCTGTATTTCGGAAGCCACGCATTTTTCGACTCATGTTTATATAGACTTTATGCATTAATTTTAAAAGTTCTATCGAATCTTAAAGTTATGCAACAATAAACTTAAACACCCTGTATAAGTATCTCAGATTTATAGAGGTTAGGGCCTGCAGCATACAATTTTTGGCTGACATACTCAGATCTTCTATTCATTTAGGAGTAATGACTTGGAGACAGCTAATAATACAATTGCTTGCCCAAATTGGCAAAAAGGCACTGACGCAGCCATTTGCTGGAAAATTGATGGCTACGTTTTTTTTTTCGAATCAAAGATTCTTTCTCATAGAATATATTCCAAACGGGTGAACAATAGATGCGGACGTCTATGAGAACGTAACAAGATCAACCAAAAGAGACACGATGGTTCCTGTTGCATAATAATGCACCGTGCACAAGGCCTCCAAAATTTTAACAATTGTGCAGGAATGCGACTTCGGTTCTTACAGTCCAGACTTGGCTCCGTCTGACCTGTATCCCTTTATATTACTAAAGAAGAATCGTCGAGAGAAATAGCGCAAGTGCATCGGTTTAGATTCAGATTATGTTTGAAAAACAATATTATAAAAACGTACGTCTTTTGTATCATGACTATGTAGATTTATTTTCGAATAACCCTCGTATATGTGGACTGTGAATCAGTTAAAAATATAGCTTACCTGCTCCTCTCTTCCACCACCCTCTGCCGTTGCTTCTCGCTCTTCTTTCTCTGGGGCGGGGTAGGCACGATCACCTCCTTCCTCGGCGAAATGCTCCGCCCATAATCAGGGGTGGGGGAATGCCGTCTGTAGTCCGGAGATGGAGAATGCCTCACGCCGCGATAATTCGGGAGTGGCGCGGCGAAGGAGGGGAATAACGGTAGTCGGGCGATGGAGATTGACGTGGTGGGGGGTGGTGATCCGAAGCGTAGTGTGGGTGGTGACGATAAGGTGACGGAGAGGGAGAGATACGGTCAGAGGAGTAACGGTTGTCGTGGCGGCGTTCCGACCACTCGGAGATGCCTGCAAATAGATGTTTTAAGTTAGACATGGACATTCTATGAATACTGGCAGTTACAATTTACAGAATAATGCAGATACTGTAATTGACGGAGTTGAGTAAGCATGCATGATATCCCACCAACATCGTATATGACTGAATCTATTGTTTAATGGCAAGACGGCCACAGGAGATCGACAAACAAGTCGTGAGACTAGTGTCTTAGCACTTGTAGCAAACTCAGTTATTTATACAGGGTGATTTACAAGTCGTGACCAAAAATGAAACATATACATAACCGCATTTTAAGAGGGGTATTTTATGTAACATTTTAGTTTAGATTAGTCTCATTCTAGGATTTATGTTATACTTGGATGTTCCGCTAATACTGATGTTGTAAGGGCAGTGCTTTAATTGAACCAACTAATGAACCCATCACCACGAAGCAAGATTATCTGTGGAGGTGTGAAACAGCGTCTACAGAAAGCAGACCATCTATTAATCTGTCATGCATATGGAATCGTGCAAACATTAACCTTTGTAAAATACTGCATGATCCCTCTCCCTCTCTGGCTCCACTGGACTGTACACTCTCGTGCTATACGCATTTTGAGGAACTGCGTCAACAGTCGGTTGCGATTTGATGGTCACATTAAAGAAACTAGTTTTCGGCGGTGCGCTTTCCTCATCATCGTCGATGATAGAGTTGTTGGACGATTTCGAATCGCTACCGAAGTGATGCTCCAGCCATTTGGAGGTTTCTACCTTACGGGTCTCTTCTTCTTGGTCAAAATCCAGGGGTCTACGGGTTAAAGCATCTTTCCGATCCAGGGGCGACGCAACGCCGTTCTCTACACCTGGAGGGTGTCAAACGGGGTTGATAAGGTATCGTGACCTCGCGCGGTCTCATAAAACCCTTTTTAATTTTGATTTTGTTCGATCAGAAGGTGAAGATTCGTAGACTTTGAGACAATGTGATTGTTAGTTTGCAACAAAGCTTTTCTGTTTAACAAATTTTTGATGCAATTGTAGCACATTCATATACTAAGTGACATATAAATCCGAACACCCAGTTTAAATGGTTTTATTTTAATAAAAGTTGGTGAATGTATTTACCTTACTGTAAATAACAAGTGAAAAAATTTTCAGCCTTATCAGTTGGACATTCCGGCTTTTATACTGCTTTTTTTTAATTCACTAACGCTCTAAAAATGAATATTTCAGCCGCAGTAAAGAATCAACGTTGGCGGATTTTGGTTCTTGACATCCTTTACGATCGGTTACGATGCCTAGAGTACGGAGACCTGTACGATTTCGTCAACTTAGTGAGTTTGATAGGGGTCGTATAGTGGGACTTCGGGAAGCTGGACTTTCTTTTCGGGCAATTGCAGTTAGAGTGCAAAGAAGTGTAGAGCAAGGGGCACTGGACGCCGCCGTAGAACAACAGACCGTGAAGATCGCCGCTTAAGATTATTGGCCTTAAGGGACCGTTTCTCCACTACCAGGTCCATTGCAAATGAATGGTTTGCAGAACACGGAAGACCTATTGGCATGCGAAGTGCTTACCGACGAATGAGAAGTTTTGGCTTGTTTTCATACCGGCCACACTGGGTCCTCCCTTTAACTCGAGAACACCGACGTAATCGCCTTGAGTGGTGCAGACAACGGTCACTCTGGGATCAGGAATGGAACAGTATTGTCTTTAGTGACGAGTCTCGATTTTGTTTAGGCATGCACGATGGTCGTGCCAGGGTTAGAAGGCGACGTGGTGAAAGGAGGAATCCACAGTTTTTTGTTGAAAGACATGTTCATCACACTGTTGGAGTTATGGTTTGGGGTGCTATAGCTTATGGTTCCAGGTCACCTTTAATCTTCATCAGAGGTAACATGAACGCGCAGCGTTATATCCACGAAGTTCTAGAACCCCATCTTTTACCCTATCTTGACACCCTGGCAGATCCAACTTTCCAACAAGATAATGCCCGACCACATGTTGCAACAGTCACAATAGACTTCTTTCAACATAATGATGTCACATTGTTACCATGGCCACCAAGATCTCCCGACTTATCCCCAATTGAGCACGTGTGGGATATGATGGGTAGCAGATTGCTCAATTTGCAACGTCCTCCTCAGACTCTAGAAGCACTTCGAGAGGAGTTGGTGGTTGCCTGGAATGAGATACCACAGGAGGACATTGACCACCTGATCAGAAGCATGCCTAGGCGCGTTGGAGAATGCGTAGCACATCAGGGTGCATCCACACATTATTAAAGGTCAAAGGGCTTTAAAGCAGTGCAATCATTTTGAAATTTTTATCATTTACTTATTATGCTTCATTAAGTACTTATACAAATTTTATTAAAATAAAACCATTTAAACTGGGCGTTCGGATTTATATGTCACCTAGTATAATTTATAATGAAAAATGAATGCTCAGCGTATAGGTTGTTACAGCGCCATCTACGGGACACTAACCTTCCCAAATTATACAGGGTGTCTCAGGCGTGCAAGGACGGGGCATTGCTTCTAAACATGAGCTACACAAAAAACTATTAATGGATTATTATACGGGGTGTTAATTAAGTTGAGTTTTACAGACGATTCTTTCAGTAATTTAAAGAAAGAAAGTTCATATTCACACAGGTCCGCAGACATTCTCAGGATACAGGGTGTTAACGTTTGAAATAATGATTTTTCGTAAATTTCTTAAATATCCTTTATCTAATTTTGTTGTAATTTGGCGGTGGAATTTATAACATCAATGAGCTAATTTAGCCATTATTGATTAAATTTATTAAGACCATTGGCGCATCGAGCGGGATCTGAACGAATATTTATGAAAGAATGTACGTCACTGACTTTTGTGCAATTTTTATTATGTTGTTTGGACTAACCAAATAGAAGTACATTTAAAGTTTCTTTTGGTTTTTTTTATATTTGTTATTACTAATTATGTAACAATGACAAATAAACACTAAATTAAATTATATTAAATTAACATCTAAACCAATGACTTTTATTTAACTAAAAAATTGTAATTAATAATCAAGGGCTGCCTTGGAAAACGATTGCAGCATTTAGTAAGCAGGGGTCCAGGCATAATTATGCAATTAAGGGGACTTTTTTCTCGAAAACAAATCGACATACGAAAAATATTCAAGAGATGGAAAATCTGTATTTCTATTTGCTTAATCTAAAGGAGATAATAAAAATTCCGCGAAAGTGAGCGGCGATATTTTTTGTCACGAATATTCGTTCAGATCCCGCTTGAGACACTATCGGAATTAGTAAATATAATCAAGCTAGCGCTAAATTACCTCCTTGATGTTATCGATAACGCCCAATTATAACAAAATTAGGTAAAGGATATTTAAGATATTCAAGAAAAAACCTTTTTTTTTAAATTTTAACAACCTGTATCTTGAGAACGATGCGGATCTTATATGAACTTTTTATCTTAAAATTGCTCAAAGAAGCGTGTGTTAAATGTATAGTGCATACCTAATTAAACCCTGTGTATGCAATCTCATATTTTTAAAATATTCATATACGAGTATTAACAAAAACTCATGAAAATGGGGATCCGATAGTGTAAAAATGTACATGGTGTTCCATTGAATAATTTTTGTGAAACATTATTTTTTCCGTTTTCAACCACTCTGTAGTGATCATCCACAAAATTTGAAAAGTGGATACTAAAGTCTGAACATTTTTGGCTCAAAATTCATACTGTAACTGTCAACATAGCAGATATGTGTCAAACTTTGATATTTTTTTTTTTTTGTATAAGATACCCACTAATTCAACAATTAATAACCAAAACCAATAAGTATGTGAGATCAATACAGGGTGTCCGCAAAGTTGGGGTTTTCCTTTACACGACGTGTAGATCTTGAAAACATAAGCAATTTTTCTTAGTACCATATACACCAATGTCTTAAGGGAACCGAGATAAAGGGCTCTGCAACATCAAAAATATCTGAATACCGTCCTGTAGCCGCGACATCACCGACTGGTACAAGGTCACTGACTCAACCCGACAGACAGAACTGGGTCGGGTCAGTGTGTCAGGTCAGTATTCAACCTTCAACCGACGGTTACGGTCACGCATGTAGAGGTAATCGCGTAGACGAGAATCCCTCAACAAGCACTAGAGACGTGGCTAGAGAAGTGCAAGTATCAAAAACTAAAGTGTTGCAAACACTGCGTGAAGAGGGGCTGTATCCGTTTCACGTCCAACGTGTACAAGCCCTTCAACCTGACGACTTTCCCGCAAGAGTGCGGTTTTGTGAGTGGTTGTTGCATAAACATGACAATAATCCGGACTTTTTGAGGTGCATATTGGTGACAGACGATTCGACGTTCACGCGTAATGGGGTGAATAACTTTCGCAACACTCATGTTTGGTCAGTAGAAAATCCGCACGCTGTCCGTCGGGCACATTTTCAACAACATTTTCGGTGAATGTTTGGGCAGGCATGGTGAACGGTATGCTCATTGGACCATTTATTCTCCCAAATCGATTGGACGGGATGCAATACCTAGACTTTTTACGCAACATTTTGCCTTCCTTGTAGAAGATGTGCCATTAAGTGTAAGACAATCAATGTGGTTTCTGCGTCTGCTCGGTAGCGCATCAGCTGATTTCATTTTCTATTGGAGCGGTATGATTCGGGCAGAGACGTACTTAGCCCTTCTCGTCAACTGGAGAGTGAGTACTTTTTCCTTTATTTTTTTTTACTTGGTCGCCCTCGTTTCACTACACATTACCTTTGTTATTTCAAGCGTAGTTGTTTCTGAAAAGGAAAACCCCAACTTTGCAGACTGTATTGGTCTTTTAAAAAGGACCTATCCGAATTCTATTTGAGCAAAATCAACTTTGAGATGTGGGACATTATAATTGTGATAAATAAATTAATATGCCTCCAGATACCAGTTACAATAATCCATAAAAAATTTCTTTGAATAGTTTTTACTTAGGAGCAATACTTCGTCCTCGCATGGTTGGC